CCGCCTCCAGCACTCCGCAGGTGTCCAGGCACTGGTGTATTTGAGGAGTTTAAGGAGCCTAAGAAATGGATGTGAATCCAGTTATGTTTTCACTTCAAGGGTCAAGCCAAACAAACCACAGGTCAAAAGGAACCAGGAAAAGGAAAAAAAATACAATTTATCTACAAAGTGTATTTTTAAACATCTGTTTTTCCTGTGCAGCTGTCTGGCCTGATTCCTTCATTGAAGAGCAAAAAGTTTGAAATAATAATAATAATAATGAAAAATAAACCCTTTTTCTCAACTTACCTCAGGATTAGAGTATGTTAGGATTGGAAAGACTTTTATAGTTCATTTAATCAAATACTTACTTGTATGTAAGTGAAGAAATTGCTCTAGAAAGGTTAGCTGGTTAAGTGAGGGGACCCAACTCTACTGACCCAGGGAGGTCAATGTTGAGAATCTCTTATGTCTACATTTATTGTATTGTCTGACCAATCATCTCACTTGAGAATTTCCAGGTTCTTCAGTAGGTGGGACAGCTGTTGTCTCCTCAAGATTAACAGAGTATTGAAAACATTAGGTGACTTGCTTCAAATCTCACAGCTAATAACTTGCCACACCCGTTTAAAGTTCTTTAATGGGCCTGGCCAGCATGGTTCAGTTGTTGAGCATCAACCTGTGAACCAAGAAGTTGTGGTTCAATTCACGGTCAGGGCACATGCCCGTGGGTTTGTGGGATCAATTTCCAGTGTGGGGCGTGCAGGAGGCATTCAATCAATGATTCTCTTTTGTTTTTAAAAATCTGTTTTTATTGATTTCAGAGAGGAAAGGAGAGGGAGAGAAAGTTAGAAACATCAACGATTAGAGAGAATCATTGATTGAATTCGGTGGCTGGGTGAGCTCTGTGGTTCTCTGAGATCCAGCTTCCTCACCTGTGCGGCTGCCTCCTACAAGTCCAGCCTTTGCTCTAACACCTGATCCACGGTGTGGCTCAGCCAGGCAGCTCCCAAGGCCCTAGCCTTCTTAGATTCCCTCCCTGATGCCCCTTTACTCCCTTTTTCTAATAACACGTTGGCTGGACTGAAATTAAAACCAGGTTCCTTTCCAAGCTTCAGGGTATTTCATAAAGCTTATTTCCAATGCAGACATTTTATTTTCTTGAATAGGGATTGTGAATGAGTGAATTAAAAGTATAAATGTTTCGTTCAGAATTCAGGTGAAATGCCACTTTTTCAGGGTTGCATTCTCTGCTATCCTTAAGTCCCTTGTTAACTGCTGACATCACATCTAGAAATTTTCTCATCACAGCTGTAGTAAAATGATTATGAATGCAACTATTTAACATCCACTGCTTCAGCTAGAACAGTGGTTCTCTACCTTCTGGCCCTTTAAATACAGTTTTTTATGTTGTGACCCAACCATAAAATTATTTTCGTTGCTACTTCATAACTGTAATGTTGCTACTGTTATGAATCGTAATGTAAATATCTGATATGCAGGATGGTCTTAGGCGACCCCTGTGAAAGGGTTGTTCGACCGCCAAAGGGGTCACGACCCACAGGTTGAGAACTGCTGAGCTAGAATATACACTCCATTTCTCTTTATCTCCAGTATCTACCTAGGACAGTGACAGGATGAAAGCTCAGTAGATATTTGTTGGGTGAATAGCCAACCACATCTTGGCTCTCAAAGTGCGGTTGGTCTGCAGATCATCAGCAGCCAGCCTCACTTGGGAACTGCAAATTCTGTGGCCTCACCACAACCTTACTGAGTCAGAACGAGTGTTGGGGGAGGGAGGAGGAATCCAGAAATTTAGGTTTTAATAAGCTCTCCAGGTGATTCCAATGCCCACTCAAAGGTTGCAGTTAAATTGATTAAGGTTTAGCACAAAACTCTGTCCCATAAGGGATCTGAACAGTGGGCAGCGAGAAAGACAGAAAGAAACCTAAACTTATGGTTTTGGCAAGCAGGACAGGGGAGGAGGAGGGGTGTGTGTGTGTGTGTGTGTGTGTGTGTGTGTGTGTGTGTAATGGGGCTGCAGCTAGCTGCTTGGGCACAAAGGAACCCCTCACCCCCAGCATATTCAATACATGTTTGAGGACCAGTTCCAGCTAACAGCATTGAGACACTGAGTATGCACTTCCCTGGTAACAAGTTCCCTGGTCTCTGAAGGTCTGTTTTTCAGAGTAACCAAGTATGTTGGGTCCAGATTTTCGACCCTTTGGTGAGAGAAATTGCTGGTTGATCAGACCCTCAAAAAGTATCCTAAATATTGCTCCCTCAAACCCGGGAAATAAATCACCCACTTTTGAGTATGGGTTGGCTATAAGGAGGACTGTTAGTCATTTTTAAATCTGTTGTTTCCTCCTTCGACAGCTATTCGGTGGCTGGCTGCAGGTCCTGGCCAGTGGTCTGAGGACTCCTGGCTCAAGATTGAGCAGCTCAGCTCCAAATTCCCTTTTCCCAAAATTAGTTACTTTAAAAAATATTTAAAAGTTTGATTTCAAAATTACACGTTTTGTAATCCTTAAGATTATTTAAGACTCATATGAATACACAAGAGGGAATGGATTTAACATAGAGGAGACTTGGAGTCACCCACTTGGGCGACTATCCCCAAATGGACCAGATTCAAGTTCACCATCTCCCCCTCCCTTTCTGTTCCAGTTAGTGTTCCTCCATCCCTACTGCCCCCACCCCCCAATCACCTACTCCTCCCAACTCCATCTCATTCTCTGTTACCCCAGCACAGTGCCCTTCCCTGCCTGGAGCTCCCAGTATGCCACAGGGTTGGGGCTTTGCCCAATATAATCCTGTCAATGATTAGCTCATAGTTTAATTAACTATTTTGTGACTTCTCACCTCATAAAAACTGCCACATTTGAATACAGTTATTTCAATGGAAAAGAGAAGGGTCCTAGTAAAGACCAAATCATCAGGTCTGATGGACACAGCAATATGTCATATTATGGAAATGGTGCATTTGAGATCAGGTTGGAGAAGGGAGGCTTTAAATCTTTTATTTTTTTAAAAAAATATATTTTATTGATTTTTTTACAGAGAGAAAGGGAGAGGGATAGAAAGTTAGAAACATCGATGAGAGAGCTGCCTCCTGCACACCCCACACTGGGGATGTGCCCGCAACCAACGTACATGCCTTTGACTGGAATCAAACCTGGGACCTTTCAGTTTGGAGGCCGACACTCTATCCACTGAACCAAACCAGTCAGGGCAAGAAGGGAGGCTTTTCAATCAGTAAATCGCATGCGTAGGTGGCCCGGACCCCCAAGTCACCAGTCTTCGAAGCACTGTAGCCTCTGTCTTTGTTCATGATTGTGGCCTCATGGGTGTTCCCTATAATGCGCTAGGTGAGAGCGAGGAGAATTTTAAGTGGGGTAGAGGAGCAAAATGCCAAATACTAAGTTTTATTTTATAGAAAATTACCTACTGATTAAAATACACATAAAGGATCCCCAGTGCCTTTGGGACAAAAGTCAGCTTCACTGTGTTGTCTTTGCCTTTGTAGTCTCTTTCGGTATGTGAACTGCTCAGTTTATTCCTCTAGACTATTTCTGATGGTGAAAATGTTCTTCCAGAAATGCTCCGAAGTCTGTTTCCAGTGAGTTAGGAAAAAATGAGCAAAAGAAAAGCGAGCAGCTGAGCTGGCCTGTGGGCCTTTCTAGCCCACTGTTCATTAATGATCATTTTTTTTCGCAAGCGTGTATTATTCCCTATGGGTATGTCCCACATTCCTGTCCTGCAAAAATCCTGGCCACAACAGCCTTCTGATGAAGACCCAATGCTTTATCCTAAATGCCTCTGCAACTCAGCTCAGCCAACAGGGTGGGTTGTGCCTGAGACAGATGTCCCGGCTTGCCCTGGCCAGGCAGACTCAGGCCCCTCCCAGTAGATGAGGCGCTTCATCCCGGAGACACCGGAAGCACTTCCTGATTTCATCAGACAAGATGAGATGTGTGTTTGGGGATGACCCTGATGTCTTGGCTGAAGCAAACAAATGAAATGTGTGAACTTAGTAAGAGCACTGACCTGATATGTAGAATGTAACATTTAAGAAAATTCAATTGGATTGAAAATAGCACATTCTTCTCCTGGTGAGCCAGCAACTTTATGATTTTCCAAAAGGAAGGATAAAATTATCTCAGTAAAAATTCTTCATGTTCTGGAGAAGGTAATTGGAGAATTGTGGAGGACATAATATTTCTCAATAAGAACTGTGAGATTTAGTTAAAGTCTCAAAGCAATAATAGCTGGTTCTTATCGAAATATATGGTTGACATAGTGCTTTTGTGTGATCCATTCAACACCTCAGACTTGAACGTGCACCCAGATCACCTGGAGATCTTGCGAAGAGGAGATTCTGTTTCAGGAAGTGTCGGGGCCTGGATTCTGTATTTCTAACCAGCTCCATCCATTGCAGATGCTGCTGCCTGTGGCCCACACTTTGAGTAGCGAAGATGTACACTGTCTTTGAAGACAGTGTTTCTCCAGGGGTGGTCATTGGGTCCTCATGTGAGACTCGCCCTGGTAATATGTTAAAAAACAGAGTCCTGGCTTCACTACAGTTTACTACATCCAGTATCTATAGTGGGAGCCCAGGAACCTGTATGTAACAAACAGCCCATATAATTCTTATCAATGCTATAGCTTGAGAATGGGCATGTCTAATGGATAAGTGGCGAATTTGGGAGAACCAGGAAATGTGTGGGGGGAAGGCTTTGGCTGTGATAAGGAGGCTCTTGTGCAGTGAACAGGAAGGAAATGTGCCAAGCACTTAAGCAGTTGGGGCATTCATAGATTGGCACCTGCAAGCCATTCAAGGCATCTACATCAGTGGCCGGCAAACTCATTAGTCAACAGAGCCAAATATCAACAGTACAACGATTGAAATTTCTTTTGAGAGCCAAATTTTTTAAACTTAAACTATATAGGTAGGTACATTGTTATTAATTTAATTAGGGTACTCCTAAGGCTTAGGAAGAGCCACACTTAAGGGGCCAAAGAGCCGCATGTGGCTCACGAGCTGCAGTTTGCCGACCACGGATCTACATGATAGAAAAGGAGCTCAGATAAGCATTTATGATGATGCGATACTGTACTAATTTCTGTTGCTAAAATAAACGTTAAGTTTCAGTATTAAGCATATGCTCCTCACTTTAAAAAATAATTATGATTTTGAAAAAATTGCAGAAAGTTAAGTTTTTATTTGTTTATCTTCTTATTGACTTACATGATACTTTTAGAGGAGTTCATCATCATTCATGTGGATTCTTCCAGTGGTGGTATATCCAGTCCTCTGTCCTTAGTCCCTATCTCTTTGATGGAGGAGAAAACAATTTGTACACAAATGCTGACTTTTACCAAGTTCATTGCTTCTCAGAAAAACAAGTAGATGTGTTAAAGTTTGTACTTGAGTAATGATAGCTCACTTTTTCAATGCATTTATTATGCACTTGGAACTGTGGCAAATACATTAAATTTATAATTGTAATTAACCCCAAATCTGAGACAATGTGTCATGAAAATCTCTGAGGGAAGGTGCACTTCAAAGTGTCTCTTGAGCTGAGGGAGCCTTAGCTGGCTTTGGCCAGTGCATCACCCTGCTTTCCCTGCTTTCTCAACATTTTTCCTTTTATAGTAACTTCCCAGACTGCCAAAGCCAGGCGTTGCCTACTCCCTGTATTTTGACCCAGAGGGGGTGCGATTTTTCTATGCAGTGAAGGGTGGTGATGCCAAACACAAACTTCTAGGCTAGAAGTGTGTATGTACCCGCCCCCCCCCCCCCCCCCCCCAGCTGAAGGCCTGAAAGAGCGCTGGGGACACTTCAGCATATTAGTCAGCAAGAGGCATGTCTGCCAGACGCTATAGCAAGGCCTGAAGTCTACTTACCCAGTGTGTCTGAGCCCCTTCAGAATAGACATAGATTTATTTGGCTTATGAACTTTATTTATATAAACTAATCCACTGAAGCTTTATTTAAATTCCCTAAATCCATAAAAATTAAAAGGTACTTAGAGTTTGAAGGAAAAGAAGCCTGTTTGCTTGAACAATGCCCAGAAAGGTAAAAGAAGAAAGTTAAAATTCCATAGGAATAAAGGAAAACTTGATTTAGAAAGAAGAGATCATTTTTGTGAGATGAGGTCATTTATATGGAGAGAGAGAGAGAGAGAGAGAGAGAGAGAGAGAGAGAGAGAGAGAGAGAGGAAAATGAGAGGGAGGGAAGGGAGAGGAGATAGGAAAGAAGGAAGAAAGAAAAGACATAAACAAAGGGACCACTTAGGGGGAAATACACATCTCGAGTTAAAGTACGGAATTCCTCGTGCTTTGCAGTGAGCGTGTTTGTTTGGACTTTGAGTCCTAAAGTAAATGTTTTTACAATTTGCAAAGTATAACCATCTAGCAGTGTTCTTTCCATACTGCCCACCGTGTAACACATCATAATCATAAACTTTAAGCCTTGTATTTCTCCCTTCCCCCCCCTAGTCCACACCCAAGAAAATAGTTATCTTTTTTTATATAAGTGTGGTCATGTAGGATCTTGTGTCAATTTTTAGACATGAGACAATATTTTATATATATATATATTTAAATCTTTATTGGTGAAAATATTACATATGCCCCCTTTTTTCACCCATTGAACCCCTCCAGCCTGCCCCCGCCCCAGGCCTCCACCACCCTGTTGTCTGTGTCCATAATGCATACAAGGCCTTTGGTTGATTACCTCCCACCCACCCACCCTCCCCTGCCTTCCCTCCAAGATTCCACACTCTGTCGCATGCTTCCATGCATGAGACAATATTTTAAAATGACTTTAGGCATAATACCTCTCACATTCAATCCTGACTTAGACTACAATCAGAGTCATGACACTACACGTACACTCCACAGCCTGTTCTTGGCATAAAAATTACTGAAGGCTAACACCTCAAACATGCCAGCATTCTTTACATTTTCTGAGAGTGTGAGGTTTCATCTTAACGCAGGAAGGAACTCTCCCCAATCGAAAGCACTCATAATTTCCCCAAATCATACACCTCAACCTAAACTCACTGGATTACTTAACAAAAGGGGTGCGTTTGACAGTTCTATGTTACAGATTAGCTGTTGACTTACGGCTTTTAATGATGCCCGAAACATGGAGCCGGGCTATTTCTTGTTTGCTGAACCCGTATCCTCTGAGAATTTCTTCTGAGTGTTCTCCTAAGACCGCACTCCGCGTGGAAGGGACAGAAGCGGGAGTTTTGGAAAAAAAGGGAACTGGCATGGGCGCTATCACCTGCTGTTGATCCGTGATAAAAGAAGTGCCCCTCTCCTCCTTCGCAAGTTGAGAAATATCCTCAGCTGTCAGAACAGGGGTCACACAGGCGTCCAGTTCCCCAAACACCTTGCACCATTCGGCTTGCGTCTTCTTGGCAAAGATGTCGGCAAAGAGTGTCTTCAGCCTGGGCCAGTCCGGCCAACTCAGCTGCTTGGGAAGTTTTGAAGGATCGAGCCCGAGTCCTTTCAGAAAGAGCTCATAGAGGTGGGCTTCAAAAGCCCCCACGGCCATGAACTTCCCATCCGAGGTCTGGTAGGTGCCATAGAAGGGCGCGCTCCCATCCAGGAGGATGTCTACCTTGACTCCGTTGAGATTGTTCATCTTCTGCAGGTACCACAGCACAGAACTCGCATACGCTGTGCTCTCTATCACATTTGTGTCCACTGTTTGTCCTCTCCCAGACTGGGCGCGTTCAAAAAGAGCCATCACCGTCCCAAAGGCACCAAGAAACCCTCCGGCCGAGGAAGCCAGGAAATTGGGTGGTACATACGGTTTCTCGTGTTTCCGGCCAAATGTTGACAGCACACCAGATAGAGCCAGAAAGTTGATATCGTGCCCTCTGCTTTGGGAATACCTACTGGATAACTTCATTTCAGTGGAAACTTTCACATGGACGAGTCTCGGGTTCTTCTGCAGCATGTCCTCTGGCAACAGTTTCCCCGGGCCCAGCACCCCACCGGGGACAGGATCGACCAGCACATCAGCCTGAAGACAGAGTTTCTCCAAGACCACGGCACCCTCTGGAGTGTTCAGATTTAGAGCCAGCGACTGCTTACCTCGATTCACAAATTCAAACATGACCTTTTGGTCCCAGGCCACGCGAATCACCTGGGCCCCGAAGTCGGCGAGAATCATGCCGCAGAGGGAGGAAGGGTACTTCCCAGCCAACTCCAGCACCCGCACGCTGCTCAAGGCCATGCCGGCTGTGCACCCGAGCGCTGGGAACAGGGCACTGTGCTCCAAGGTGTGGCTTTAGATGTAAGAGCAGGACTTTATGGGGCAATACTGAAAAAAAAAAAAAAAAAAAGGAAGGAAGGAAGAAGGTCCCGCCCATTGGAAAGTCAGTGCATACCTTTGAGATTTACTTTACTGGCTATCTTCTACCCTAATCTGCTTTTATAGCACGGTCTCCTTTAGCATGATTACCAAATAAGACTAGTTGCCTCCTTGAGATCCTTATCTCAAACTGCTGTAAAGGATTATATATTTTTAAAGTAATCGCAGAATAACACAAAAATGAACAGAAATGTAAAATATCTCAATAGTGTTTTTATTGATACAGATTGAAATGCTAACCTTTTGGATAGATTGACTTAAATATATGACTTAAAATTAATTCCATCTATTTCTTTTGTGTGTGTGTGTGTGTGAGGTTACTAGAAATTTTAATTATAGACATGGCTCTCATATTTGTATTGGATGGCATGGCCCAAAAGCTGTGGCCCTCATTACCATTGACACCGCCTCTCCATCCAAAAGCCTATCCAGTGTCGGGTGAGAAAATGTTGGCCATAAGATTTAAAAAGAATATTTGAAACAAAAGTCTGACATCCTAATAGGTTATCTCACTCTTCTAGTTCTACTTGGCCCCCAACTTAGGCTTACAGGAACCAGGGAATTGGGACTGGTGAATCAGAATAAGAGAAACAATTGCTGAAAGTCTTGGCTTTTCTTCAGAATTTAGAGTTTATGTTTAATGGTATTAGAATTGGCGGTATTGCTGTCAACCCACAGAGCAATGGGTATCTGTGAGGAAATGGAAATATCTGCTGATATCTTAGGAGGTCAGCAGGCTGTGCATTGGTGCAAACCTGTGGTGTCCCCAGTGTCTGGACACACTGAATGTCATGTGCAGAAGGACCTAGTCTCGGCTTATAATGTTGGCATCATGAAAAATGTAAGAAGGTATTGGTCACTGCAAATGACAAAGGTTAGGAAGGTTCATCTAAACACTAGGATTTCCCCTAAGAAGTGATAATTCCTGCATGTATCTAAATATTTGTGAAGTTTTGTGTTGTTGTTGTTGTTGTTGTTGTTTTTTGTTAGTTTTTTTTCCTTTTGACTGTAGTTTTATTATAAAAATAGTATAAACTCAAGAACAGGACAATTTCCTTCTAATGTTTGACAATGGGAAAATGCCTATGAAGAGAAATATGCAGAAGAAATTAATCATTACGACAGCCTCTTGCCAAACAATTTAAAACCATAACATTTGGAGGTTATTTCATAGGATAGAAGATTTAATGTCAGATGTCACTTCGTTTTGTAATTATCTTTATTAGCAGACATAAATCAGGAACAAAAAAGTCCTAATATAGTCATTGTAACCTAACAGTTCCTCTTGCTGAGGACAGCTAATGGGTTTCTCACAGGGATCTTAGAGGCCAATTGGCCATTTTCATCAGTTCAATTTACACGCAATTCACCACAAACCAGACAGATGGGGAAGCTTACTAGTGTGAAAAAGAGCCAATGTTTCTCTCTCCATGTGAGAGGTACCAAAAGCATGTGATCATTCAGAAAGAAAAACAATTTTCAGTTGTTTCTGTTATCTCTCCTATGAAGAAGGAAGCATGAGTATGGGGAATCTAAGTAAATGCAGAGCCAAGTAATTTGCAATGACTTCAAAGATGTTTGCTGGCCATATTCGAATAAGGGTGTGTCCTGGGTTCTAGGAGCTCACAATTCTGGTTACCATAATAACTTCCATACATGCATAGCACCTTGTTTCTTCCAGTCCAGGCCTTGGTGTCTGACAAAAGCTATAAGGTACATCTTGTAGGAAGACATGGCTATCACCTCTCATATGTTAGGATAATAAACTGAAAATACCCATTTTCCTTACTAACCCAACGTGGCCTTGACCTTCTCTCTAGACCTGTCCTTCCAGCTTCCATCCATGCTTCCTAAAGGATAATTGGAGTCCATGAACGTAGTCCTGAAGTCTTTTCCTTAATCCAAACTGTTCCAACTTCCTCTGATCCTTTAGTCCTGGTTGTATTTTCTCACCGTTTCCATTCTGACTTTATCCTTCTTAGTTGACCCTCTGCACAAGTTTCCTTCCCTGTGCCTTGTCACTCCTCCCAACAGAGATTCTGCTTGTCCACCTCGGCTGCTGTCCCTCATGGGACACCCCCCTTCCAAACAGTCTCTGCGTTAGACAGTCTCCGCGTACTAGGTTCATTATGGCCCTTTATGCAGAAATCTGTCAAAAGAAATGGTAAAAATGTATTTATATTCTCATTCTGATGTTTTCTGAAGGCAATGAGCACAATGAGTAGAATTTCAAGTGTGCAGAAAATGATGGAAATTGGAACCATCTTCCTGTTTGTCCACACTCTTCCTAGTAATGTTTGCTATTTGGTTGTTTTCTTCTGATTCCATTAGGTCAATGGGTTGAACATTCTATAAGTGACTCCTAAATCTGTGGTGAAAACCATTATTTCAGCATTTATCATTTATGAGACAGAGTCAGTTCCCTGTATGACTTGATTTGCACACACCCACATGAAAACTCAACTGAACCGTGCCCAGCACAGCTAGGGAGTGAACCTGAGGAGGGGCGGTGAAGGATTAAAGAAGATAGACAAGAGAATACAGTTGGGACCAGGTGGATCACTGCCTGGATGAGGAAACAGTGACACGGCCTGTAAGCTGAAGCTTTATTGTATAGTCAGATCACACAAAGCAAAACAAGGGGAACGTTTACAATGTTCTTGCGAGTTTGCTATCTATTTCGTTACTCAAGCCTTGTTTTGGCAGCACTTGCTGCACCTCCCACAGCTCATTAGCTACCTTAGGAACAAGGGAGGACTATAAGGTCAAGCTTAATTGCACTAGGAGGGCTCTGTCCTCCAAGCTGGGACTTGGATGTGGCTCTGCCACAGGTCAGGCCGAGGCTTGACCCTATAGCCGCTCCCTTCACTAAACTACTCCTCTGGCCACTCTGCGAGTCTCTGGTGACATTCTGGTTCCATTATATCAGATCAGCATTTGACTATGTAAACATGGTTAGTACCCTCTGCACATTTTGAAAATTCATTGTGTATTTTCTTTTTTTATTTCTAATAAATATATGAATAATTCTTAGGTACTATTCCAATCACATTTCAATTTTTAAAAATCTAGCCTGTGCTTGGAAAAAGCTACAGTCATTTGATCAACCAGTCAATAAACTACAGTTTATTGACAATGAATATGTATGTATAGGGAAGTGTGGAAATTGAATAAGGTTTGTCAGACCAGCTTGTCGAGACTTGAGGTTTGAGTCACAGTTTTTGACTCATGGCGTGTTTCTAAGTGACCCCTAGGCATAAAAATAATATTGACAGTTCAAGCAGTTCTCTAGGAAGCATGGTGTTCTTATAAAATTAAAGTTGCATATTTTGGTTAATTATGCTACAATTTCCTTCCACCCCTTCCTAATGACTTAGTTTCAGCTCTTCTGTCAATAGGTCTACTATGTCCTGTTTATTCACATTCACATTTCAAAAGACAATTTAAGAGTTAGAATCTCTCTCCAACTTTTTCTCCAAGGGCAATTCTGGAGAAGAACACATTCTTCCTTTCCTTTAAAAATGTCAGAAAGTGAACACAAGTGCCAGCACTGAGCAACTTCTACTTTTTGGACTCCCATCAAAGGAGCTCTTCCCTTACTTGGGAAGCCAATGTAGTTTCTGCTCATTCCTGACCCGGAGAATTTTCAAAAGTTCTTGCTTGGGCCAACAAGACATGGCCTCCAGTCTCCCCAGAGCCCCCAATGCCACCTGGGAAGCAATCTGCAGTTTCTCAGAAGGCATTCTCAGTTGTCCCACACAAGAGCATTTCCAATCTAATCTTCTCCTTTTCAGAGAGTGAAGACAAATAAACTCCAAGACGTAGTAGTGATTCAGATTGTGGCTCCAGAGCCAGCTTACCTGGTGTGAACCTGGGCTCCTTGTGATCTTGGGAAAATTAGTTGACCTATTTCCATGTTTCCCTTTCCTGAACTTTAATATGGTGATAATGATAGAACAACCCCTCAATAGGACTGTTGAAATGCTTGGAATAGTTATAGGACATTGCAAGTGTTTGTAATTGTTAGTATTATTTAGAGAAAATAGAATATAGCAATTGGAAAACCACTTAACTCCTGACACCAAACCTATAAAGTGACTTTCATTTACTTACATCCTTCCCTTAGTTCTTCTATTATCAAAGAAGAGGTACTTTTAGGCTATGTAAGGTTCATTTTTCCCCCTGTACTTCAGATACACACCATGTTCCCTGCTTTCTTGGGAATTTCATGCATTCTTACCCCTCACCCTCTTTCTCTCTGATATGTTAAAATCCTACTCACCCCTCTTCACTACAATTTATCTCATCAGCAGTAATCTCTCTTAACTCAGCCACTGTAATGATGATCTCGTCTCCTACCATCTCTGCAAAGATGAAATGCTTGCCAGAATTACTCCCTCACTTCCATCATACCTCAACCCCTGCAGTTTGGCTCAGGGTTCTCTCTCTCCACTAAAACTGCTTTCATCCATGTCTCCCTTCTCATTAAACCCACTAGATACTTTCAGCCCTTATATCACTTGAACTCTACCTGACACTGTTGAGAACTCCCTCCTTACAGCAGGCTCTTCCCTCAGGTTCTCACACTTCACATGTCCTTAATTTTCCTCCATTTTCTCTAGTTGTTTTTCTCAATTAACTGGGCCTCTGTCCTGGTCTCTCTTCCTTTTCTATCAATATTTTCTTTGTAGTTAGTGCTTTGGAGTTTCTTTACCCTTAGGTAACAGAAAGATAATTCTATAGTATCCTATCAAGACTTACTGTTTTACCATTCATATCTAATTTCAACCCAACTGGAAATGACTGGTTTTGGTATGGTGCGAGAAAGGGATCAATTTTATTTTCCCCATATGAATATCCAATTGACGCAGCATCATTTAGTGAAAGGCTATCCTTTACCCACTGCTCTATTGTGTCACC